ATTAGATTTATTATTTTATTATTATTTTAATGTAACTTGTAAGGCGCATTTGAATATATTCATATAGATATTTGCGCCGAATAAGTAATAAATTATTATTCATACTCATAGAAGGGACAAAAATAACGACTGGCGGATTTACGAGTCATTTGTTTATCATGATTTCGCCATGTAAGCTACTTTCAAGCCAAAAACTATGGAGCTAGGCCAGTGGCTATTGGAAGAACAAAAATTTCCAAGTTTGCCCCAGTTTTTCAGAGAATTACTCTGTTATGAATTGTCAATTATATTGTAAAAGTGATCCCTCCATTCTCAAAGTCTTTATTCCAAAAACTTAATTTGGAAATATCAGTCATCTATCGGTATCTAAATGAATGTCTATTGTTTTGCTACATACCTAAATTGAATTGAATTGTCCTGTCTAAAGACGAGAAAAGAGGTGTTTATCATTGAATACGCTCTTAAAAATAGTCAGCCTTTGGTTCTCAGTATTTTCTTTCATTAATGATGGCCCTGATATCTTACGCGCACTCCGCTTTCGCCGCTAAAAAAAATCAGACAACTCAGACAAATTTTTTTCTTTCATTGTCAGTTTACTGCTACACTGTTACAATGGGTAGGATTCATTTACATGTTTTAAAACTAAAACTTTACTTAGTTACCTTATCTAAAAAAACGTATTGGAAGAAAGTTTGAAATGGACATTACAAAGTTAGCACAGTTCAAGTCGAACAAAAGTCCAGTGAAATTTACGATAAAGCAAAATTTCTTTATTTCCTCTTACACAATTTTACCCTTTAGAAAAGGCAGTAAGGGCGCCTCTTCATGCATAAAGAGCAAAAACATCAACGCACGATGATCCTCGGTTGTCTTCTTCGGCAAAATCCATCAGGTCTTCACCGTACCACAAGCGTAACTCTCGGCTCCTTAACACTGGAAAAGGAGACGGGAAAAACCGCAGAACAAGCCTCGGCGAAAAGGAATTATATCCGGGAATCACTGACCATTTCAGCCAGGCGCGGAACTTGTCTTTACTGAGGAACTCTCTTGGTGGTAGTAGTATAGTATTGCGCGAGGTTGTAACCACCACGTTAACCCCGGTGCTCCCACAGCCCCAGTTAGACAAAGGCGAGTTGACGTTGGTTATGTTGCAAGTCACGCTACCGTGCAGATGAACCAGCTTTATGGCGATTAACCTACCCCTTCGAACGTAGAATCTTCCAAACTGGTTTTTTCTGGTTCCAAAACACACCAGCCTTATATTTACTTTAGTCCAGCGACCTGAAAGTCGATTTAACGGAGATCAATTAAGATACTTTTTGTCTCCTAGACAGACTGGTTTTCTACCTGTAATTTAATTAAAAGTTGACATGAAATCTCACCTTATCTCCTTGATGTTTTTGCTTTTCCAAACGTTTTAATTCTATATCGTAAACATCGAGTCTTCTCAGCAGAGTTAAAGATTATTAATCCAAATTGGTGCCTTTTATTCAGCTACTAAAAACATTCCGTATTGCCTGTAGACAAACTATGAAATTATTGAGTCACTTTGAATCAGTATCAGAGTTACCAGTTTCGTAATCAGTTCACAGCGAGCTAAACGTAACACTCGAGCACACTAAAGTGAAATCGTCTCTCTTCAGTTAGTGAGAGGTTCTTCGTTCCTGAGGGTGAATTAACCACTGTTGCGTAATTTTTAAGTGGGCACGTGCGTAAATTAAACAGAGGCAATGTATGAAAGGCCGCGCTTAGCCGCGCTTAAACGTAAAAGTTGAGAGAGGTTCAACTTTTACGTTTACGCGTGACCTTCCATACATCGCCTGTATTTTATTTACGCGCGTAAAATTTCGTGCGTGCGCTCGTAAAAATTGCGCGAGAGTGGAAATCCACCCATAGGCGGTTTTTCAACTGGTCGCAGCTTTCGTTTATTCTTCTTTTCCTGAAGATGGAGACTAATACAGTAAACACCCGCAGATAAGAACCTACATTTTTTGAAGTCTGGCAAAAATCTCTATTTGGGGGCAGTTATTGCCAATTTACGCTAAGTAGGTTCTTAATAAGGTTCTTAATTTCTATGAAGGAGATATATTTGTTGACTACCAAAAAAACAAAGAAAATTGAGCTTGGTCCTTAAAATATACGCAGGATAAGTTGTCAAGATCACTTTATGATCGACTGTAGGAAGGAATGAGGAATAATAAGCACACTGTACCAGGGACCGCGCAGCAAGTTTTCGAGTGGGGGGGCTAAAGAAGAATGCGTGAAGGAAAAATTTGGGGGGGGGGGCATGCTTGTGGATTTCTATTCAATTTCTCTAAAGTGACGGAGAATGCGAATAACGATAAAACTATTGATTTTTTCCACATCTTCAGTGATGTTGCTATCGGGTCTGAAAATTCACCATCACTAAATTNAATTCTTGATCAGCGCAGGAACAAAAAAAAGACGTGAATATCAATAACAAAAACCATACAAATTAGAATTCTCCAAGACCTAACAAGCAAAGCCTTCAAGGTTTAAATCGGAAAATGCAGTCACAGTAAATTTTCGATAAAAGCTTAAAAAGTTTAAGTACAAATTAGTTCATCTTTAGGGGTTCAGTTCAACTCAATATTTACTTCAAATCTGAAGTTAAAATATCTCTTATTGACAATGGAGTTATTAACAATGGAGTTATTTTTATCCTTTATTTGAAGTTATTAATTTTAGCTCTACCACTTATGTAATTAAAATAACTCGAAATTTTTGGACTTTTATCTTTTAAAAAGTGGCTCTATCCAAAAGAATCAACTCTAATGAAGGGTAGATTTAGCTCCACCTTAGGCCGAATTATTGGAAATCTCTAAAAACACTGCAGTGAAATAATGAAAGAAAGAAATAAATGAAGGAATAAATAAATAGTAACTGGCTTTTGTGCACCTCTGTTTTACCATCGCTCTACCTCCCTAAAACAAAAAAAAATCACTGATGCAAGGGCAAAACGTGGCAAAATCCGACATGTGGAGGCTGTTGTAGGCGCGAAACAAAACTGATGACTCTTAACTACTGGCCTACTGTTCAACTTCTTCGAATGAAAATGAGCCAGTTCGTGGTGGCTTGCACGTATGGATAGTAGATATCTTGAGATTATCCAAGGTATTTCATCACTGAGTTCTCCTAAGTTTTTGAAACGAGACAAGCTGGTTTTATTTAACTTGAGTTCTTTACTTTACGAAAATAGACCTTTTTAATAGCCCCCGGCTTCTATAAGGAAGTGTCCTCGATAGGATTCTTCAATCCCATCATCCCGACCAGAATTTTCGCGCAATCCTGTAATCCCAATGGTTATATTCGGCATCCCGCATCCCGTCCCGAATTTCGCCCCATTTTACTTTCAGGTCCCAAGTAGCCTGCGCGGCAGGCGTTTAAAAGGGGAAGGGGGAATTTGGGCGCGCGAGGGAGAAAGGAAAGTAATTCCGTTTCCCTTCCCTTTCGAGCGCCTGCCACGCAGGCTAGGTCCCAAAGGATTTGAAGGATTATGCTCGAAAAAGTAGCACAATATGCTACTAGCAGTGCTCGTATATTTCTAAAATTAGTACGTGTAATCAAATGATATGGTGACGGGTGAAGTAAGGGAATAATTTCACGCGCGTTTTGTCCAAATCCTAATATTAGGCTGATTTAGCAACAGGCAGGAACGCCAGTTGACGACGGGAAAGCGCGCGGAAAGGACTAAACACGACTTCCTGTGCTCAATATTGGTCAAGCCAAAGCCAGTTGTTTGATTTGTGCGCGCCGTCGTCAACTGACGTTCCCGTTCCGTTGCTAAATCAGCCTATTAATTCTAATGCTCTCGACCGGTAGGAGAGAGAAGCTGGGAACAAGGTTGGCCAACGTTATCTTCAATATCGTTCCGAGAAACCGCGTTACCATTGTGCAGCGGAACGGGCAACAAAACCTCTGGGATAATCCGTTTCAACTCGATTTTTCATTGGCTGACCATGTGAGCATGAGCAGTAGACCAGAAGTTAACCTGAGATCAGGCCCAATTTTAGCGGTTCTCATACACTCTCTCTAACGGCCAATGTAATTTTCAAAGCGAAACGAAAATAGAGCCTGATCTCAGGTTAACCAGAAGTCAATAGGTAAACAAAAATGAAGGGAAAGAGCGCTGAAGGGAATTCACGTTGTTATCAAGCGTAGTAAATCAAACATTTTGCTCTTGAACGTCAATCTGAAGTCTGGCAAAACTTTGAGATGAAATGTTTTCTTTTTCTACCTAAACATAAGCGATGTCGGCTTCAGCAACAAGGCAAAGCTCATTCAAATCCGTCTGCGGAAACAAACATTTACCCCGGGACATTTACATGCAAAGGAGTTCTCGATATGGACTGTCCGGTCTATGTGATTGTTAGGTTTGTAAATTAAATAAAGTTAGCTGATGCGAAGCATTTTTCGTATACTTTGCTCTGACTACTGGTGAAGAAATGTCAGCGAGATGCCCATTTCAAAGTAGCTAGATATTCCGACGTTTGGCAAAGAATTGAGAAATTTTTTAAGTAAATAAGCATCATTATTACTGTGAAGCTATTCAGTAGACTCGCTGACAACACTCAGATTTCGTAGAATTCTGTTGATCGGTGCAGAAACAACAAAAAAGTGAATATCAATAACAAGAACTTCACCCGGCAAATTCAGTTAGCTCTCAAAGTTCGTCTCCAAGGATGGAGAAGACTGGGTCTAGCCCACGTCATGTTTTGACTCGTCATCTGCACTACTGCGGCTGCGTATTGGTCAAACAAAACAAAATGGCGACCATCAACTTCGATCAACTAAAGGTAATCTAAAATATGTATTTCTTCTGCCGCAATTATTTACTGCAAACGGCTTGAGCATCTTCTCTAAGCTACTACGTTTTCTTTCAGGCACAGATAAATAAGGCGCTGGGTGATGCTTCGGTGGTAGTGAAGTTTTCTTGTGCGACTGTATGTCTTCTCTACTGTTTGACTTTCATTGATTCAACTGTTTATACTGCTTTAGCTGTTACTCCTGGATAGTAAGTTACACGTGTGATGAATTTTACTAATTTTACTTTGGTTAAGATTTCCGCGCATCTCCATACATATATTATGCATACATGTTTCGACTCTATTCATATGATGATAGTGCCTTAAACCTTTTTGTGCAGTAATTTCATACTATTATCCAAAATATGTAGTATGAAATTGCTGCATGCATGATAAATGTGTGGAGTTGTCTGGAAATCTTAATACCTCATTTCGTAGCACTCAGCTTTATCATAACAAGCTTTATTGATTCACCAAGTTTTTGAATTTGTCTTGACCATGCCCATAATAAGTCTATTTCGTTTCCCATCTCCCAACTGGGATTTTTGGAAAGGTAAAAAAAACAACAACAACAAGCAAAGAAAAAATTCTACATACACTGTCTGGAAAAGCAAAATTTAAATGCCTAGCTATCGTAGAATAGAACTCAATGAGATCTTGCACGCCATGTGCAAAGATATTTGCTGCCAATTGCAGCACATGATAACTGAACTACTGGACTGCAAATAGGATAGTTTCTCAGTGACATTCGATGGTTCCTTTATGCTGAATACAAATACTAAGTCTTACAATGTGCATTGATGCTGTGTAAGCCTTCATCTGGTTTTCTACTGGTTTTCCCATGAAATGACATCTGAGGAATGAATCAACCAATCAGAAGCACTCCCAGATCTGAGAAGTGACACATCATCAGTTTTGAATTTCTGCAGTCGTTTCTGAGAGTTAATTTTGTGGGATAAAATGGTGTCTGTTTTCTCAGGTTAAATGCTGTCCAGACTGTGCTAAATCCACATTGTCAGTTTAATAAAAGGAAAAAACGTCTTTTCAAGACTTTATTTTGAAGAACAGTTGCTCCTAAATTTCAGGTTTTATAACTTATGCTAACTACAGTCAACACTTGCCTTGCGGACACCTCGCTATTGCGGACGTTCACTATTACGGACAAAATTCAGATTTCTGGCCAAATCTATAGGGGTTTGACTGGAAATGACTCCCGCTATTACAGACTTACGGACACTTTTTTGGTACTAAAGTGACAATTTTATTGTTCTGACTTTCGATAAAGTGGACATGCTGTACTTCTCATACAACATAATTATGTAAAGTTACAGTCTGCTGTTCATCATTTGCCAAAGTACATTTCAAAAGATTCAGTTTCAAATCAATAAATTATTCCTAAAATTGTTTGCACAATCACTGTCCTCACTTCTTCACTTGAGCTTGTACTTTTGTCTTCCTGGCTCTTTGGGAGTCTGAGCTCCAGCCCTCGTGTTCCATTCTCAATGACTGCCTAGCAGTTTCTGTACTGCTGTTAGGTTTGTTCAGTCTTGCAAGATATTTTGGGTTACCACAACATGGGCAAGTGTTACTTAATTGTGCTGTTATTTGCATATAAGTAGCACATTTAACACACATTAAAGATTTAAGAAAACCTTACAAACGTAGTTCATGTTATTTGTAATGTTATTGTATGTTAACAGCACTTTTTTTTCGCCCGCCCCACTATAACCGACTCTTGCTATTACGGACATAAAACCACGGTCCTGAGGGTGTTCGCAATGACGGGAGTTGACTGTATTGGTTACTTATCCTGCTGAAGGTACATTGTATTGATGTATGAGGGTTAATTGCTATGCTCAGGTGCTGAACATGTTTCCTTACAGTTACTGTACATGTCTTTCTCAGGTTTATGTGTAGAAGAATTGCATTGTGTTAGTATCTATATGCTTTTAGTTTCCCATAGGTTTTTTAACCTTTTTTTATTTTTGTTACACATACAGCTGTAGAATGTATTTTAATTCTCCGTTTTTCTTGTTTTCTTCAGCATTATTCCACCTCATTTTAGAGTATGGACATTAATTACAGGAGGTTTTACAGAGTATAGAATATGGAATGTAAGTGCCTGCTTTCAACCTAACCATTTTAAAGATTGAATCACCAAAATCGTCTCTAAAAATAACCTGTGTTTTCAGTACCATCCTGTTATGCATCCATTGAACCATGATTTATGAGGTGGTCATATTAAAGGGGTTGCACTAGCCTTTCTGATCTTAATTTTCAAGATATAACACATACTACATTGCACTTGAACTCCTTGTATTTACTTTAAATGAGATTCATAATTATTTTTAAAAAGATCAATCATGATACTTTTTACTTGTTTTAATACATCTCAAGTCTTTGTTAGTTTAATAATACTTTGAAAATACTGTTTGTACAAGTTATAACAACCAAGAGAAGCATGGCTCCATAACTGTGTAACCATGAGTACATGAAAAAATTGATAACAATGAAAAGAACATACTTAAAACAAAGTTCTGACTAATGGTAGGCACACTGCTAATTCCAGCTTGCACAAGAATTGTTGCCTCCTTCCTGCAAACAATAGTTTTTATACATGCTTAACTTATGTCATTTGTACAGAGAGTAGTTTTTTTCATGTGTTGACAAAGTCATGCAAAAGTGATGCCATTTTGCTGATAAGTTGTTCTTGTACAACACCATTTAACTACATATAGCTGGCACAGTTTGAGCAACAGTTTCTTGTCATCACTTTTAGAGGTTAAGTCACCATAACCACATGTATTTTTAATGGTTTTGTCTGTTTACAGTAAATGTGATTTTTAAAATAAAATTTTTGACAAAAACAGTGCATGCTTTATATACAAACATCACCCTCTTTCAAACTGAGACAAACTTGAAAAAAAAAAGTGAGCTGCAGTTAACATGTACCTGAGTAAAATCCATGAAATAAATTAAGACCCCTCTTGAGTTTATTCCCATCCATGCTTCTTCTGCACTTTTTGGTAATATTTCTTTTTAACGTCAAGTGCTTGTTTTTGTTTTTTTTCAGGTGCTAATAGATATTGCAGTGCTTGTGCTTTGTGGTCAGCTACTTGAACCCCTGTGGGGAGCACTTGAATTTCTGGTAAATACACTGAAGATCTAGTTAATATGCGTGATGTAAACACAGGTGAAAGTGAAGGATCAAGCACAAGAGATTTTCATACATCCAGTGCTAGAATAGTAAGATGGGTACTTGAGCATCCTGTTTCCCCAAGTGATGAAAAAACCTTGCACTTCTGTTTGCAGGGGGTACAATGTAGTTTACATTTTTTGTCCTTCCTTGGTCACATTTTCTTTATCCACTTGCTTTTGCAAACAAATTTTATTTTAAATAACTGAAGACTATCTTGTGTAAACAGAGGCTAACTACAGTAAAGCAGACAGCCTTCCAGCAAATTTCATCGGCCAAAGGCAGCTGTGTCAATGTTGTAGTTAAATTTTATCCTTGATTAGATGTTTTCCTTTTTTTTTCAAACTCTTTATGTTCCATATTAACCATTTGTGTACCCAAATCAAGGGGAAATAAAATAAATTATTTAAAACTGGAACAAATCTAAGCTACAACATTTATATTATGATATCAACTTTTTGTTTGATGTGTACTACTGGGCATAGTTAGAGTTTGCAAAAACATTTGTGTGTGTCCAAATGCAAATAAAGCAAGTAAATATTTTATGTTTTGCCTATGTAACATCATGTTATCTGAGAGTCTTGCTTTCTTCTCTTCCTGACCTACAATGTAATCTTGTTGATTATTAGTCTAACCTGCATAAGCAGCAAAGCTCTTAATCTGCAGCACGTTTTTTGTCGTATTTAGGACACAAAAGGGGAGGTCATTGTGCCAGGCATTCCTAGCGGATACCCCGGAAACTGAGAATAAGAATCGTTGCATGATCGAAGCCACGCATGTTTTGCGAAGAAAGCTTAGGAAAGATTAAATTTAGAGCTTTTCCGAAACATGCCAGTCCACAAATTCTATCGCTTCAAAGCATTGATTACTTTGGAACAAGTGAACACTACTGAGTGGTCAAAAAAAAAAGAATCTTAATTAGCAAAACTGCAAAGGTCGGGTGTTGTAAACTTTGATTGTATGCAAGTGGATCTTGTGGTGAGAATGCGGTTTATTTTCGGCAATGATTGAAATGACGTGCCATGTAAATCACTTTTTGATCTCTGGCAATGATGTAATTTCTCTGGAATTGAGGCCCTTGAATTTTTGTGTATTTATTCATGCGTATAGCCTGCGACTGCAGATGTATTTCCCGTCGTCGCTAACACTCGTACTACAGCTGTACACTGTAAATCAATTCAGAAACAAGTAAAAAGTAAATATCCTGAAGAATACTCAACGTCGCTGAAGTAGGAAGTAAATAAAAAACCTTTGGCGAGTAAATGCTGTTTCGTGTTGAATTAATCGCCTCCTCATTTCTCTATCTAATCTCCAAGCAAGCGAGACTGAATGCTGCTTTAAGAACGTTCTTCTTGTTAATTAATGGAAGGATTTTTTTAATGTAAGCCGTCTGTCTCAGTGATTACTCTCTTAATGCCAATGCAAATTTGTAAACAAACTGTTTAAAGGTATAAAGTACTATACCCTGAATTCAATTTTGTTTCAGATTGCCTATTTTTTTTCTTTGTAGAAATTTGTATTAATCTTAGATGTAGGAACCTCACTGCTAGCGTCAGCTGTCTGTGTTTTTGCTTATGTTGCAACATTTGACACCCAAATGTGGTAAGTGTTAAAGTATTCATATAACTACATTTATAATTAGTGGGTACGTATTTGCTGAACATGACTTAGTTTTGTTGAGTTTGTTACAGTTATGAGAATAAAGATCTCTCTTTTAAAGGCCTCCCATCAATTAAATGTAGCCCTACTATTAGATCATTTACAGGAACAATAATTATTGTGTTCTCGTCTTACTTATAAGTTTTTTGTATCTGTAGGTTTCTACAGTTTAGTGGAATGACAGGAATTTTATCGGGTATGATGGTTGCTTTTAAACAAATTAAACCTGAGCAAGAATTAGGAATGTCTTCTCTTGGTCTTCGCGTCAAGGTTGGTTTGCAGTAATTAATTAATGTATCTGTCCGCCCCATGAAAGACCTGGGTACCATGTTAGGTTTGAAATAAAAGATTATTTCACCTTGTTCATGAATCATTTTTTTTAGAATGGGTGACACTAAATGTAATGGTTAGATATATTTTACGCCATTTACAGTAGGACATACATTGTATCTGATGTGTTTCTCTTCTGTTCTTTTTTTAAGTTCATGTTGAACAATAATAATTTGTTATTTTACTTTTATGTGCTCTCTCTGGGGTCTTTGTACGTTTTTCGCCTAAATATGAAAGCATTTTTATGAAATTTTAAAGGACAAAAAATTTCCACCGACTGGTAATAGGTGAAATTGAAGAATTGAAATCTAAAGTTCTTGATGTTGCACATGAAAAGTGCTACAGCATAAGCAAAATTTAATGACACAGCTTTCATGAAAAACTGATTAACAGTCCATGAATATATGCCGTACTTAAATAATCTACAAATGTACTATTATAAGAAAATCATTAACTTAGAAATGAACATTTAAGCTTTATTCTATTTTATGAGTTCTGCAAAATAGTGCATGCCAGATGTGCCACCCATATTTTGTTTGTTTGTTTGTTTTTTTGTCACTTAAATCATAGATTTTTGTTCACACTCTCAAAAGTTAGGGGAATATCACCATGTAAATTACAGATGTACACTGAAAGTGTCTCCATAGTAATTATGACACTGAAGTAAAAGTGTTAATCACTTGTAATATATTTGTACAGTATTATACAGTATGTAACCTGTATTAAGTAGACCTCTATAAACAGTCACTTGCTAAAGCCCCAGAGTTACTGTAAAACTGACCTGTATTAAGCGGTCGCAGTCACGTCTTCAGAAGAGTTATTTTTAATTTCTTCACCTCTATTAAATAGTCACTCTGACAAGATGTACCATACTACTGTAATACAACAGATAAACTGTGTTTGGCAGTTAGTGGTCTTTTACTTCTTTTTTGGCACAAGAAGAGGTACACTTTAGACTCACTTTGAGGTCAGTCTGTCACCATCTTCTTCAATATTTCATTGTCTTGATTAAGTCTTACGTTGGTCAAACCTGTATTAAACGGTCACTAAGCTATTCCCCAAGGGTAACCACTTTATACAGGATTGACTGTAGTCCTCCACACAAGTGGTGACATTCATTTTCAAGTTACATGATCAAGTTTGATTCAATTATTGTTTTCTCTTTCAGCATGTTCCATCAATAGTTGTCCTTGTTTACAGTATTCTGTGTATCATCGGTATCCTTCCTATAATTCTTCTGGTTATGGTTTTATCTGGTACTTTCATTGGCTGGGTGTACTTAAGGTTTTACCAGCCTCGTGGAAAAGGAGTCAAGGGAGACCTGAGTGAAGGCTTCTCCTGTGCAAGTTTCTTTCCGGAAGCTGCACAGTAAGCAAACTTTCATTTGCAATGTTGGATCGTTATTATGTCTCATCTACAAACATTTAGGTGCATGGCACAATGTAAAGGAGAGGTCTTCTTGAGGAGAATAGTCGGCCTTGTCAAATTACAGCTGTTGAACCCGTATTCTCCAGACTCAGCTGCAATGATGGCCACTGTGGAAAAGTAAAATAAGAGACGAATTTAATGCCCCTCACTTTAAATTCGTCTGGTGTGAAAACGGGCCGCATGAAAGTAGACGGTACCATTGAAAAAAAAAGTTTTCTCAAAAACAAAAAAAACAAAACAAAACACTGACTCCGTTTTGACGCACTTAACAGAAGACGTTTTATTTACCGTTTTTTGTACTGGACGTTAGTCATCCTAAGATGACTTTACTTCTCAGACGACTTTAATGTCTCTAGCATAAAACCGGCAAAGGGACAGTAAGGGCTCTAGAGTTAAGTAACGGCGCACAACTTTTTCACCAAAGTATCTCTCAGAGATTTTAAGATACCCGGATTTTTAAGTTGGTGACAAAGTACCTCGACAGAATGGTTTTATCACTTTTATTAATTTGCTCTTTCTTTGTAAAAACAGATCACCAGTTAACACAATTTCCACCATTATATTTAACACTCTGGTCCGTCTGAAAGTGTGTCACAAACCGATCAGAACGTATGATGTGGGAGCACCATCAGCCATTACAATCAGCTTACCTGGAATGGATCCGGTTGATGCTGAAAGAAGAAGGTACTGTGTACAAACCTGTTGCATCCAGTTAGATCATCCAAGTCAAAGTGTGTAAACCCTTAAACACCAAATGTTCATCAGGTTTCTAGGAACATCTTTTAATTTTATTCCTATTATTGCTTACTTTGAGTCATGTTCTGTTTTAGTCTTTGAATGAAATGTAAATGCACCCCCAGTAAAATAAAAAATATATATGTTATAAAAGCCTACAACTACCTTTCCCCGAAGTGCCACACTGTACATACATGAAAGAAACATCAGCCATAATAACTGCCACAGAAATTACACGAACAGGATGTTTCTACAAAAACACGTTCAGATCGTTCAATCGATCTTTGCATCCCATGCGACGAATGCCATGAAATTTTGCGTCTTTGAACTGGGTGACCGGTCGTTTGGCTTTCGTGTTGTTTCTCCCACTTCCCTTTCGCTAACGCTGTATTCGTTTCGCTTGCAAAACGAAACGAGCACTTCACATCTATATACCTCTTTCTTTCAGCCATGACACGAAAAAGTCCGATACACATCTGTATACCTCTGTCGTCGTTCGTTGAGCTTTTGATCAAGCGTTCGCGAAATGAGTCGTAGGCGAAACGACCGTAAATCATAACCCATCTGGTTCAGTTTATAGACTGAGATTGACTTAAGCATTATTAAGGGCTTACAGATTATATACAGTACATGTCTTTCTTAAACGATATCCTAAAGTTGTCGCTTTATACTGTTAGGCAAAAGGCACTCAAAGCTCTTAATGAGAGACTACAAAAACTGGAGCAAACAACAAGCTGGCCGTCACTGGATGGACCTGAAGGAAAGGACCCAGACAGTCCTGTTAGTCCAGTGAATGCAGTGAATGAAATGCCTGAGATAGTAGTGGATCAGGGTACAACAAAAAGGACTGAGGGAGTACCAAACAGCTCGAGTGTACCTACGTAACACAGATACCATCAACTTCCGCTAATAAGCCCTGACCTTGTACATGTTCGTAAGGAGTTTTAGAAAGGCTTATAAATGGAGGGGCTTATATCCTAGGGGTCTTACAACAGGAAGCGCTTTGAAACAAGCTATAGCAGTGTCGATTATGTTCTTTTGATAATAAATTTGAAGGGTTGATGGCTTATAATTTGATGAGATGGGTGTGATAATTTTTTTGTTTACAGGTAGGTTGGTCTATAACTGGGGAGATTACATGTACAAGTGTTGGGGCTTATAGGCGGCAGTTTACATTAGGGGAATAATGGTCCTGATATGAAGTTTGGTCTGTATCATGCAATTCCATAATTCAAAGGCTACTGAAATGCCACTGAAAAAATAAACAACAAAGAAACAGAGCAACCAACCATTAAGCGAGCAAGTTTATTGTCTTTTCATAAAAAAAGTAAGCACAGTTTACCGAATATAGGCAAAAGTAAGCACAATTTACCGAATGTGGGCTGAATATTAGTTGGCAATGTTTTTACCAAATGAAATATGCGTTGTAACAGTATACGAGTCAAGACCTGCCTTGTTTCGATGGTTGCCTCTATTTGAAGGAGGAAGGAAGAGGAGTCTGGGAACTAAGTTGCCTTAGACTGCAATGTCTGTTAGGTGAAATTGTCATGGAAGCCATCTAGCTCTCATCCAGCTAGGTGGTCAGATATGTTAGAAGAGTGTGCTCGAAGATGTCATATATTTTTTTTTCTCGAAAAAGGTGTTTAATTTATGGTGAAGAACAATTTCAGACACGTAGTGTGAAGACTTTGCGATAACTCTGTATTAACTACTTCACATTACGTCTTTCTGCTGTCTTCAACAACGAGTCAAAATGATGTGTCATGAGCTCGATATTTTGACAAATGTGTCTTAGAAAGTGGTCTGCTTTTGCAATATTTAAGTTGCCTTCCCACTATTAAGTTGAACTGCAATTTCAGACATGCCATTAGAATCTTTTGCTTTGAGTTAAGCTTTGAGTTTAAATCACTCTCTTGCGCACGCGTGTGTCCCTGTCTGTTTTTCAGTGTCGAGTAAAATTATTAAACTCGTATCCAGGCAAAGGCACCGAGAAACGTTTTGAAGTAAATGTGTCTGAGATTGGTTGAAAACCTAGTGAAGTAATAGGCTATCGAAAGGGGATAAATAAAGTTAAATTAAAGCCAAGGCCCTCGCCAAACGTGGAACTTCACTTGTGATTAACCTACCGCGGATGAGTGAGTGCAGTAGATTTTGATCATTAGTATTAAGTTTGGTGAAATGTGAAGTTCGACTCTTGGCGTATTTGGAGTTATAAAACAAAAAAAGATAATGTCATCTTGTATATACTGTACATTTTTAGTGTTCATTCAGTGAGCACGTTCATATTTCCACAATTCACGCCCGGAAACAGGTCAGTGATTCTTAGTCTGCCTTTTTCTGTTTAACAAATCGACAACAATTTTCCATGGTCCGTGCTGTTCATCGACCGTGGAAATGACGGCAATATGTTCAAAACTCAACTGGAGTCACGAGCCGCAGGTGGGTGGTTTCACTGCAAAGTTTTGAACATTTTGCCAAAGTTCGCCTATGATATGGAAAAATGAATTGTGTAAATGCCTAATTCAATAAAGGTTGCTTTGACAATTGGTCTTTGGGATTTGGGTATTGGGCATTTGGGCATACGTGAATCTCACTACAATGATTTCCTTGAATGAACGCCAAACAATAGCTTCCCAGCGCGCAATTGCCCAATGCCAAAGCAACCTATATTAAATAAGGTGTATATTACTGTTTGAAACACCTTCAACGGTCCAGTTTCGAGTTTGTTGTGAATGTGTACGAAGAGCTGTGGACGCATACTTAAAACGGGCATATATATAAGGCTATATTGGTTTCATCCGTGATGAAAGCTTTCACGAAAACTTTCTTTTACTTTTGAAGTTTAGGCACTCTCCTGCTGGTATTTGAGAAAATTTTACTTTATCAATAACGTTTAACAGGCCTAAATGGCTGACTCGTTTCCAATCGTCTTCGCGTGACGCGCACGGCGGGAGCAGAGTGTGATGGGAATGGAAAAGAGAGGAGGACTCTCCCTCGCTTTTCTCCTTCCCATCATACCCTGCGCGCCACTAGGGAGGTTGTGAGAGACGATTGGCGACGAGTGAGGGTAAATGGAGCAAACATGTACACAGTTACGTATTGTGTGTAATGTGACTGTATATAAAGTAAAATACTAATATGGTACCAATTAAATAGTAGCCACAAAGATGAATGGTGTATTTAAGATTTCAAATATGAAATAAAGAGGTAAATTACGTAGGTCTTAGTGTGCGAACCTTAACTTTTCAGGGAGGATTTTAGAGTAAAATTGGTCCAATTGTAACCTTGTACGGAATGCAGTGGCTCCTTTTAAGCACCTACACCTGGCTCGTTACCGGTTTTCTTCGACTTTTTATGGAAACGCGTGTGGTAAGAACTTGAGTCGAGTCAGTACATTGGCAATACTCTGGCCCTTGAGCCGCAAAGATTCAGTAGACAATTGCACGGTGACGTCGTTTCACTATACTACGTTATTGGCCACAGCTGTTGCGGTGTCCCTGCCAACGCTCTTTCTGTTTGTCTGTTTGTTTGTTTGTTTGTTTGTTTTTTTTTTTTTTGGCGAAGCTAATAAAATAAAAATAAAAAATATATCTTCCAGAATCCTTCAGTTTCTTGTTTTCTCGTGTAAGTAAGGGCTATTATTTTTTAAACCTCAGCGGGATCGACAATTTAAATAAGAAAGCAAAAACGAAATGAACTCTGGTAGTTCTAATCGAATGCCGTCTTCGTGAGGAGGGGAGGGAAGCTATAGACCCTGTCTGTTTAGCGACTTGAATTTCGAATCTATGGTTTTAAACATCTTCAGTGTGTTTTACCAAGTAAAAAAAAAAGTATTTTATTAACGGATTGCCTCGTTTAAGTCGGAAGTATTGACTGGGGTATCCAGGGTTTTCTATTGTTACCTGCAACTCCCAAAGTGCAAAACCGCTCCCCCCTCCTCTATCCTCCTGCTTCATTATGGCCGATAATTCAATCAAATTACGGGCCCTTACTCCAGGAACCCGTCACCCGTCATATTGAATCAGTAGAATGAAAAAGAGAGGGTCGGAACATGAACTTCAAACGGTTAGCATCGGGTGAGGCCAGATTGGACACCAGTACATTATTCTCTTAACGTTACGAAACTGGCGGGAAAAGAACACCGCCAACCTTCTAGAATTGCTTTAAAAAAACAAAAGCACAGGGCGCCAGTTATGGAGAGAACACATACCAGAGAGTTAAGAACAGATCTGCAGTGATTAGGGTAAAGCACTGAACTGGAAATGGTTAGCTTTCAAATACGGCATGAGCACATGTGTATTTTATACATTACTGGATTTGACAGCTTGTCTTCGATTGTGTAGTGGATATGGATTTAGGTTGTAAAGCAAATGATTCGGGTTCAAAGCTTCCCAGTTCTGTTGTAAATAAAAAAATAAATAATGATCGTTTATTCAACCCTTTTGCAGTATAAAATGAATTACAAGGCGGGTCATTAATTACATACAAATACTTCGGAATTATGACACGTAAATATAACTGTGAATGTTAAGACATATCACATTTCGCTATTTTAAACGTGATTCTGGTATTTGATAGTGCAAAAATGTCCAAATTTGTTAGTTCTTGAGGAGGCAGGCACAGAAACAGTTTCTCGTGTTCTAAGGGCATACGGTCTTGTGTTTGCAACTCGCGGCACTAAGTTTCGTAGCAGGTCGGAAAAAGAGTAACTGTTTATCTATCTTATTTTATACTACACAGTTAAGTCGGACTTAATTGTTCTTCATGTAATTTTTTTGACAGAAACAATCTGGTTTCATCCGATGTTACCTGTTACTAACCATTCAAAACCGCTTGAGCAGAGATCCACGCTAGTCTCGCTAAGCCAGCGGTCAAGGCCTTGGTCAATAATGATCTTATTCGTCTCTCTTGCTTTTGTAAAACAAATTGTCTTCAGACCACATCAAAAAATTTAAATTTGGCAGTTTTATTTACTAACCACAAACATACAGGAAAACGATAAGAAAATATGCTGTTGTTTAAACTACAGCTAACAGAGTTTTCTAAGAAAAAAGAGAAATTTTACAACATAAGGTAAAGTAAAGTACAGCTGATGGCTATTTTTATTACAATGAAATGAGAAACAGTTCAGTTTGATGACTTGTGTTCTTAGTAAAGAACACATATCGTCAAACTGTACCATAAAATGTATAGCAGACTGAAAATTTCTATATGGCTTGCGGCTTACATTACGTTTTCATCCGAAATAGGGGAAGAGGTTGCGTTTTATAAAAACTCATAAGGTTTTTCTTTTTATACATGTATACAAGTACTGACATATACCGTATACCTTTTTGACATTTTCTATTTTTCCACGACCCAAACCTTATTAAAATTTGCATAAAATACTTGGCTATGTTAAGTTCTCGCCCAAGGAACATTTTACAACAAAGAAACTCCTCCAGTGAAGGGGTGTGATGCAATGTAATGTGACTTCAGAGCGTTCTTCTGATAGAACGCCTTCTCGCAAAATAGGCAGTTGAATGGCTTATGAGGGGCGTGCGTTCTCTTATGCGTATTCAGCGTGGATGCCAGCGTGAAACCCTTACCACATATGTCGCACTTGAACGGTCGTTCACCCGTGTGGCGGTACACATGCGCTTTCAGATTCCCCTTTTGGTTGAAACCCTTGCCACAGAACTCACACTTGTACATGCGTACCTCGGAATGCGTCCTCATGTGGTAGGTCAAGTGTGTCAGCTGTTTAAATCCTCGCCCACATTTCTGGCACTTGTGTGGTTTTTCACCTGTGTGAGTGTAGCGATGAATCTTCATGTCGACTTTCTGGTGAAACCGCTTGCCGCAGAAATCGCAGCAGAAGGGCTTGTAATCAGAGTGAGTGCGCA